CCAGGTCAAGCTGTCATTTTATCTGAAGGCTCAGCTGGGGTTGGGGGATCCATTCTCAAGCTCACTCAAGTGGCTGTTGGTAGTCCTCTCCCTCCTTTGTCACATGGCTCTCTCACAGTATGACAGCTAGCTTCCCCCAGGGCAAACAAAGAGAGGGTGTCCACGCCAGAGGTCACAGTCCTCTTGCAGTCAAATACTGGAAATGTTTTCTTTCACATCTGCCTTGTTCTCTTTAGAAATGAGACAGGAAGTCACACTCCAGGGCAGGGGCCTACACAGGGCATGAATAAGGAAGTGGAGGTCATCGGGGACGGGCCTGGAAGCTGCTAACCACACTGATACCCCTGCTGCTTGCTCCCTCACTTCCTTCTGATCCCTGCTCAAATATACCATCAGAGAGGCTTTCACAAACTCCCCCATGTAGAATAACACACTCTCTGTCCCTTTATCATGCTATTTCTTCACAGCAGTTACCACAGCCTGTTATGTGATTATTTTTTACCTCTTTCCCATTCCCAGTAGTATGTAGGCTTCATAAGAGCAGGAGCTTAGTTTTGTTCACTGCAATGTTCTTGGGTCCATGCCTGGCCCATAGTAGGCACTAGTGACATATTTGTTGAATAAATGAATTTGTATCGTTAAGGACACTTTCACTGGCAAGTAGTCCAAAACCCAATTAACAGCAGACAAGCCATAAAAACAGTTCACTTAACAAGGATTACAGTGGTAAGTGAGTGCCACAGTTAATCAGTAAATCAGTAACATTAACAGGAATTTAGATTCTTGCTATCCTTCCACACCACAATCTTCAGGGTCTTGGCCTTTTTACTCTTAGACTTGTCACCTCAAGGTCTCAAATATAGCTTCAGGTATCAAATATTCACTGGACCACATTCAAAGGCAAAAGGAAGGGCAATAGCCAGAGCAGAGACAGGACTTTTCTCTTCATGTGCATCTCCTCTTTGTAGCAGGAAGAAAATACTATTTCTTAGAAAGTCTCCAACAGACTTCTTATATCTCATTATTCAAAACTGAGTCTCACATCTAATCTAGCTTCAAGTGAGGTGAGAAAGTAGAATCCAATTGTTTTGTCCTCTAGAGTAAGAAAGGAGGGCAGGAATTATAATTGAGGAGCTACCAGATGCAGCCACAGCTTCCCAGTAAGTTATTTATAAATATTGAATCAATGATAGACTTCCAAAAAGGAAAAAAAATAAGAACCTTTCAGAGGTTCCAGGTAATAGATAAGTATACTAGGCAACTCATCATGTGAGTGAACTTGAAAATATGTGACAAGCATTGAGGTTTTTGCTATGGCTGCAAAGGAAGCCATCCTGTCAGAAATCTTTCCTCATTCTGCTTTTATGTGTAATGCAGTCCTCATTGTTTCCTCATTCATTATTTGAGTCCCTGCAGCTAGAACACATATGAAAGTAAAAAGTTGGCATTGTCAAAACTTTAAATGAGTGACCACTGTAAGACAGTCTTCATTCAGGTAGTGTCTTTTAGGTTGAATTCTTATTTTTGTTGGTGAATCTTCTTAATTGTTATTATCATGTCGATAGAGCACCATACCAATGCAAAGTGAAGATGCAAATGTTGGGAAGTATACAGGCCTTCATGAAACTGAAAAAATAACTCAGGCTTCCCTGAAGGGGACAAATGATGACCTATGTAAATTAACAATCAGGAGAGAAATGCAACAGAGATGATGACACAATTAACACTTCAAAAGATAATGATTTCAAAGAGAATTGTAAGAGGCCTTGTGGGAAGTGCCTGATGCCTTGACATTTTTTGCAAAAATTACTAAGATCATGCTATGAAAGTCAACTATGAAGTGCAAGGTACTGTATTACCAAAATCACTATTTGGTAAAATCAACTTTTGACTCATTCTTGGTTTGTCCATTGAATTAATACACAGTTGTTGCAAATTTTGTGAAGGATAAAACATGTTCATAAGTTTTTGTCCTATCATTTTATAATATGTTCCTAATCAACACTTTTCCACTGCTTAGTCTGAAATGTTTGTCCTAACTTTAGACTCAGTCTGTTACATTTCTCAGGCATGTATTACCTCGAGAACAAGAGCCTCCTGTCTTTGACATAAGAGGAAAACATTTTTAAAGGCTGTTCCTTCACCTAATTCTAGTGGATTTTAGGACATAGTTATCTTACCAAAGGAAAAACAAGTGGCACAATTCCTATAAGGAAAAATTAATAATCGGTGCCCAATTTAGGGCACATTAGAACCACTCATGGTCAATAGTTCCTTCTCCTGAGCTCAGAGAACAGCTCCATGTGGTCTTTTCTTATAGGATGAAGTGAATAAAGGATTGAGAAGAGGCCAAGAGTAGTCATTTAGCAAAGTCCTTACACATGGTCAACATGAAGAGTAGAGAATGAATGCCTTCCCCTCACATCAGAGCTCATTATTTGTTATAATTACTCTTTTAGTGAGTTCAGGAAAAAATATTACTTATGTATTTCACATGCTTCATTAAAAAAATAGCAATTTTCATACTATTTTTTTTTGGATACAGGTTCTTTAATGGAGCATCCACTCTATCAACAGACCTGGTTTCCTTTAATGATTCACAGACCCCAGCTCTGAAGCCAATTAAACGTCACCTACCTCTGGCTGGGCCCGGAGTGGCTGGCTATCCTCATGATGGTGGACTTTTTAGCTGAGAACAACCTGTGTGGCCAAGCTATCCTAAGGATTGTTTCTTGTGGCAATGCCATTATTGCTGAGCTGTTGAGGCTCTCCGAGTTTATTCCTGCTGTATTCAGGTTGAAAGACCGAGCTGATCAACAGAAATATGGCGATATCATATTTGATTTCAGCTATTTTAAGGTAATCTTCTACAGCCTTTTTACCACTTGACTTTTCTACAAAAACATGCTTTCTCAGGGAACCATGAGGCTCTGAGAGGTTAAGTAATTATGGAGAAAGAGTTAAAGAGGAAAGGCTTTTAAACCAAATTTAATGTCCACTAGCTAGCTTAGAAATAGTATAAAGGTATTATGTGGCAATCCTGACACAATATAATCAAATTTTAAATAGATTACTTTCATGTAATGTACTTCACATTGAAGTACCTCACACTTAAAATAATGCAATCATGATTGCAATTCAAATTCATTTCTTTCAAAGAGATTTTATATCTATGCTTCTGCTATCTTTGTTACTTTCTGTTGCTCTGCTTTCAACTTTTGATATCCTCTTTAAGGCATAAGAACAAATTTTTTAAAGACTCTTTAGGAACTGTTACCAACAAGGATGCTTTTACTGACATTTCACATAAATGTGTTTTTCTTCATAGGGTCCAGAATTATGGGAAAGCAAACTGGAAGCTAAGCCAGAGCTACAGGATTTAGACGAAGAATTTCGTGAAAACAACATAGAAATTGTGACCAGATTTTATTTAGCATTTCAAAGTGTGCATAAATATATTGTAGACTTAAACAGGTATTGATTAATTTAGTAATAGCGTATTCTGTTAGTAGAGAGGGAGAAGGTACATACTCGAACTTTCTGAGTCACTCAGAGGTTACTAGCTTACACCATGCACAGGAGTCTTTTCCTTCCTGTGGCACTTGTCATCTTAAGTATTTTAGAGTTGTATTATAATTTCCTATTCTTGTGAAGTATTATAATAACCTTGGTTTATACTAAGTATAAACAGGCTTTCAATCCTGTTGTTTATGATCATATATTCTAGTACACATACTTGAAGTGATACACGTGGGAATTAAATAAAACAGGAACTTATTTTTGCAGCCTTGATAACCACAATCTTCCTTCTTATCCCTGACCACACAGTATTCTCTTCCTTCCAGCCCCTAGTGATTCATTACTTATAAGCTTTTAAACTGGTTATTCCACATTCATATGCCATTACTTCTAGGACATTTGTAATTCATAAATCTGGACTAGGGATATTCCTTTTACCTGGAGTAGCCATAACTGTCAACCTGTGGCCCTACCACCGAGTTTCAGCTCACAAGTCTGTTCTTAGAAGCATGAATGGCTGTGAACTATTTGAAGGCCAGAATGGCTGGTGTCTTGCCTTATCTTTAAAAAATCTTTACTTTCCTTCTTTAGAGATGTTAAAGCTTTTATTATCAATTAAAAACTTGTCCTGGGGTTTCATTTCTAGATATCTAGATGATCTCAATGAAGGTATTTATATTCAGCAAACCTTAGAAACTGTGCTTCTCAATGAAGATGGAAAACAGCTTCTGGTAAGTAATAGTGACCATTTAAAATAGAACTTCAGGAATGTCAAACTTAGCATTACCTTTTTCTTTCTAAGTCACAAATACATACAGAGTCCCCTTCTTTAAAAAGCAGCAAAATAAACTGCTAATTATCTTCTGACAGGCCTGCATCTGAATTTAAAACATAGTGGACTTTGAACAGAATTCCAAGTGAGTAAAGGTTATGTGTAGGTTATAAGCTTCCGCAGCATAATGATCCTATCTTTTTTCTTTATTACATCCCATACATCTAGCCTGGTACTTAGTATATGGTGATCACTTACAAAATGTTTGTTAAATCAGTGAATGGCTTAAAGGTATTCATGATAATCAGGATTCCATTTTGGGATCTCAAGCAAAATATCAAAAATAGGCCAACTGAAAGATAACCACTGTAAATTAAATTTATTTCCCATAAACCTTTCAAAGCCCATTCTGTACAGAAGGTGAAACACTGTTGGGAGAGAATCTTCATCCTCTTTGTAAAGCTTTTAGGAGGAATGGGAACAAAGTGATCTTTTTAATCATCATCTGCTTCCCTCTGTAAGAATGTATACGCCTGTGAGTTGGGCCATTGTCTTTTTCTCTGCATAGTGTGAAGCGCTGTACTTATACGGAGTTATGCTGCTGGTCATCGACCAAAAGATGGAAGGAGAAGTCAGAGAGAGAATGCTGGTTTCTTACTATCGATACAGGTATCCCTGGACCACACTCCAAAATCACTACTATTGGTAAAATGTAGTGTGGGTTTCCCTGCTGCTTTCATTGTGAGCAGCAGCAGTGTGCTCAAGAACGCAAATGTGTAACATCTCTCCTCTCTGCATAATTTGAAATAGAGCAATTACTCTGTAGTTTATATCATCATATGTGTGTATATATATATATATATATATATATATATAC